GATAAACACAGCTTCATGGGAGTATCTTTCATTCTACGCTTACTGTGGTTGTAGTATGTCTCAAAGCAGCTGTAGAAGGTAAGAGAGTTGTACTCCAATTTTCGGCTCAGTTCGCAGTTCCAGGCCGAACTTCATCTCTGTGTATGAGAGATCGGTCGCTTCTCCTAGCAGGAAACATCATAGCAGTCCGTGCGCATAAAAACGAATACTTCCGCCAAAGCAATTTGTTGACGTTCCCTCGAAACTGACCAGGGAATCCCGAAATTTTTTAAACTGTCGGGCTTCAACGGGTTCGCATTCGCTGGGTAGTCGGATCGTTGACTGTACTAACCTCCCTGTGGACAGAAGTGCACGGGATGCGTCTCATTGAAGTTTTCATAATCTTCGAGAAGAGATGCAGCTCACCTTCGCAGGAGATTACTCCCCTCTCACCAAAATTTCAGAAACAGCGGCCCCTCCCAAGCTACTTCTAAAGCCTAGATTAGAGCAAACGACACGCGACTTTGTGGACCGAATACGTCCACCTTCGCAAGGCTAACCACCCCACCCCCCTTTGGGACTGCTTCAACAATAGTGACTATCGGTCGCATTGTTCCCAGTGCATTGGGCAAAATCTTGACGGTCAGCTGCCCCGTCTGTGCTGTAGAGGTTCAGGCCACTGATCAGCACTTTTGAATCTCATCGAATGCATTTACTGCTAGGTAAAGTCTAACGGTGTATTGATTGATATCCAGGGGAACCGCAAGGAGGCTCTCACCGTCGTTGTGTAACTAGGCTCAACTTGTAATCATCAGTGGACACATCTCCGGTTCTCTTGGTCAGCAACACAAACACCTACATCATTTAACTGGGTCATGTAGAGCTTCACGTTGACACCCTTGTCCAACATCTGACTGCACACAAAAATCATAGTTTTCTTCACTGATGGAAAATATGTCATTGGAGTTTATTCCCAATAACGTTATGTCGTGAATGAGTTACTTTATTATCCTTCATTCCATCCCGTATGGGATATTAGTGTACACCACGGAAAAGTCTCAAAGTAGAACCGCTTGTGATGATTTATTCAAGAACTCAGCCTTCAATCTATTTCTGCCATCGAAATCGCTTTCAAAGTAGCTTTTCATAAACAGGCTATTAGCTCACATCTTTTCTTAAGATCTAGAATATACAGATGACATAGTCCTGTTAGGTGAAGACGCTGACAAGATGCAGAGTCTTCTGAACACTTTGAGTGGGAATTTGAGAATGTTTGGGATGCGATTTTCACCACCCAAATGCAAATTTTTGCTCCAGGACTGGTCTTAAGCGGTACCGCGGCTAACAATAGAGAGTGAAGTGGTTGAGTGTGTTGACCACTTCACTTACCTGGGAAGTAGGATCAACCCCGGTGGGTTAGTTGCCGATGAGATTTCCGCACGGATACAAAAGGCTCGACTGGCTTTTGCCAATTTGCGCCACCTATGGCGCCGCCGTGATATTCGTTTGTCTATTAAGGGTCGCGTGTACTGCACAGCAGTCCGCTCTGTTCTACTGTATGGCTGTGAAACATGGCCATTGAAAGTGGAAGATATAAAAAGGCTTCAGGTGTTTGACCACCGTTGCCTTCGTAATATAGGACGTATTCCGTGGTGTCACCATGTGGGTAATGCAGAATTCAGGTGTAGAGTTTTAGAAAGAAGAGGTAAGTCAGTCGACGAGGTTGTGAACCTTCATCGACTGAGATGGTTGGGACACGTACTACGTATGCCTAGTCACCGATTGCCTCGTCACACAATGTTGGCTGAGGTGGGTCCAGACTGGAAAGAGGGTGGAGGTGGCCAGACTGAAACATGTCACCAATGTATGAAGTCTCTGACTGTTGGTTTAAGCCATGTAAGACGATGCAAACTAGGTGGTTGGGGTCCGTGGGACAAGAGGAACCAGTGGTTGGAGACCCTAGGTGATATGGCTGAGAACCGATGCCAGTGGCGCAGATGTATACACACATTATCCTCATCTTAACGACACTATACCGATTCTCACCATTTTGTCACTCCTCTTTCCTTTCTTCTCGTACTTTATATTTCTTTTGACTGCATTCACTTATCTTCATCCTTCACCTCACTACCTTTCTACTTGATGTAGTGATATGAGGTGTGGCAACTCGGACCGTTACGCAGTAATGCCTGGTCCTATGTTGATAATGATGATGATGATGATGATCACATGTTTTGCTTCCAATGATTGACACTTTTCATCACCATCGTACCTACTGTTTATGACTTGGCTTCTACTTTTTGCATAACACTCGAATCCTTATTTTTCCTATTCCACCATAGGAATATAGTTGTCATGGTTATTTGTATATTTTTGTTTTTCTTAATGATATTCAATTTATCCAGTAATCTTTTCCCCCCCCATCATCTTGTATTGATCGATTATTTGATGAAGGACATTTCTGGCTCATGATTTTGTCGAAAAAGTTCTACAGTTTCATCTGTTATTTTTGTTATCATTATTACTATTATTATTTTATTTTCAAGTTTACCTAGTGGGATGATGTTGTTTAAGGGGGGAATGAGGAATGCTTGGGTCATGGTCATGACGATTGGAATGTGTATCGTGCACAATGTTACACTTTTTTTTACCAATGTGTAAAGGTTACTTATTGTTATTATTATTATCATTATTCAATTTGTGTTATACATTACTTCATGTGTCATACACATGTCACTATTGCATAATAGAAGTTGTATAATTTCACAAAATCAATAGACTACTGAGCGTCTAACTTGTATTTCAAATGAAAATGGATAAGAAATGTGATCGAAGCAGACAGATTCATGGTAGGATAAAGTGTGTGTGTGTGTGTGTGTGTATGTGTATCGATCTAATTCATATACTCCTCAGTTTGTAAAGTGTATATCGCCTGATGAACTGTCAATATTAATGTGATGCGTTTCTTCCTTGATAACTTGGTTTTTAACTATTCTGTTTACTTCTGTCTGGAGGTTTGTGGAGATTTAATTGATTTTTAGGTTAGATTTCATCACCGACTGACTGACATCAGTTGGAGAAACATTGGAAATCTGAAAGCATAGGAAAGCCTGCTGTTCCGTCCTAGTATGGAGCTCCTCAGCAGTGCGTACCCATGACGCTGCCCCACCAGGGATCGAACCCAAGAGCTTCAGGTCCTGTGACCAGCACGTTACCATAGGAAATATGGACCATTAGATACCGATCCAATGATAACGCGCTGGTCAGGGAACCTCAAGGTTCATGATTTGATGCCTGGTGGGGCTGGGTCATGTGTGCGCACTGCTGAGGAGTCCCATACTAGAACGAAACAGTTAACTGTCCAGTGCTCCTTGGTTTCCGACGTCCCTTCGACTGATTTCAGTTAGTCTATGATGAATTCCAACCTAAAATCAATTCATAAATCTCCACAAACCCTCAGATAAAATCAGTCTAGTGCTCATTGGTGACTAGCTTCAAAAGGTGATTCCTGAAGTTCCAATGAGAAGTCGTGACTAGTGGAGTCAACCACGTGGTATATGAAGACAGTTACTCAACGACAACACTGTGAATTGACAAAAGTTGGAAATATGTACTGGTCACGCAACCTGAAGGTCGTGGGTTCGATCGTTTATGGAGTCATGGATTCACATTGCTGAGGAGTCACACACTAGGACGAAACAGCTGGCTGTCCAGTGCTCTCAGGTTTTCAGTATTCCTTCAAGTGATGTCAGTCAATCCATGATGAATACCAACCTGAAGTCAATAAATCCCTACAAACCTCAAAATTGAATCATCTATCGCTTAACATGTTGACTTTAATACCCGTTTATTTGATCTCAATTTAAGAAACACCTGAAAACCGTTTTTTATTCAATAAAAAATTGAATAACAAGGTAACAGGCATACGTGTTTCCTTTCATTTTTACATTAAATTGATCAATCTGTTTGTTGTTGTTGCCGTGCTTGTCGTTTTTATATTTCTCCACCTTATTTTCGTTTTTTTATTATTCATTCAAATCAACCATTGTTAGTGTAATTGTGTAACGACAGATTGGTAAATACGGTCTAGTATTGGTATATATATATATATATATATATATATATATGATGTTGGGTTGAAATTTTTGAGTTATCTGAAGAAAACCTGTTTCATCGATGTGGGTCAGTTCACTCGGCAGTTTTACTCGGCCAGTGTCTAGTCGGCAATCGAGTTGGGTAACAGATTCCCCTGTTTCGACATATCAGGACAAAGGAGACTACCTGGCTGCCTAAAGCTGGGTAGGTGGAGCGGGGTTGGATCCCATGACTCGTTGGTTGTTGGTCATTTCCTTAAACCACTGAACCATGGTCCCATAAGTTGGAAGCTCCTAGGCCTATTGTTTACCAGGAATTTCAAACCATGTCACTCAAAGATAATGTGTTTGCTGTGTGAAATATACTGTGAGGGTGTCCACAACTGATAAGTATCAAAGGAGTGCATAGCAGCTGATTCCTCGGTGTTTCCATTGACATTTCCTACAACTGAGTAGTTTTCCAACTGTGATGTTTGCAAAGTTTCCGTTGCATGCCACACACTAGCCAGGATCACAGGATATGATCTGTGACACAAAAGTATCATAAACTAGCTAGGGAAATCTAACAATACTGAACAAGTTGAGCAGTTAGAAATCATTCAGGTTGATCTATCACCAGGCAGTTGGATCACATTGACCTACTCACCAGATCCTTGTTTCTCTGTTTCGAGGTTGAGCTGATCAGCAGTGTAGAGCCGAGTCGGCTGGCAAAATACTTCCTATCAACCTGAGCGATTTCTAACTAGTCACGTTATTCGGTAGTAGTAGTAGTAGTAGTATGATTTCGCTTCTTCTCAAGGCTGCATACGATTGTAATCGATTTCTTCCTATGGTGCATAATTCATTTAATAGTGAATAGTTTATTCCGTTGTCTACTCTTATTCCTCCCTTTTTTTTTGTATTTCTTTTTTTTTTTATTTATCAAAGTTTTATCGGTAACCAGTTGGGCAGTGGCACTTGGGATATGCTTTTGTGTCCTATTCATATTGTTAATTATTTTCGGCGTTATGTTACTACAGAAAAGACATCAAAATCAAGCAACCAGAAATATGCGAAGTGCATCAAATGGAGCGAGAAAGTAAGTTGTAAAAGAGTTAATAAATAGTAATAATGTAAGTACGTTCCACTTGATGGTCATTTTTCTATTGCCTGGGATTTTTTACTTAGTTACTTACAACTCTGAACACCACCTTATATAAAGCATTTTTAGAATACATTACTAAAGTTTTAAAGACGTAGTAAAGTGGCATCGTGTAGCTGGAATAAACTAGTCAGTAGCAATGGTAGACATTTTCATGTCACACGTGGAAAACACCACCCTGAAAGCTTCTGCAATCGATGAAAGCATGTGTATTTAATTTAAGTATATTTCTTATCCTTCATCATTGCCTTTCGAATTGAGTTTTCTTCTCTCTCTTTCTTACCTACTTCTTGCCTTTAGGATAGACTGATCGTACATCTTGAAGTTCTTGTTTTTTGAGTTTTGAATTTAGTTTTCCTGTTCGACTTAAGTAGATTTTTTTTATTGTTCCTCCCCTAACTATATCTTAGTTTGATAGGATAGAAATGAAGAATGCCTATTTCGCGAGTGGTCATTATGAGAAGCATTCGAAACTACTGAGTTATAGTGAGTTAGTGATGTAGAGATTCAACCCAGTAAACACAAAAGTATTCTTTCTGAGTCTGTAACGAATATCTTCAGTCGTTAGAATATGCATGCAGTCGCATTGCGTTGCCTAACATTATTAAATATCATTTATTACCATGATGTTGTACACACTCTAAGATCTACAGGCTAAAACTAACAAAGATAGTGAAGGGAAAGCTAGTTACAAAACAGGAGAAAGAAAGGAAATAATGGGCTGACCACTTCAAAAACTCTCAGATCGACCACCACTACCACCTGCAACTCGTTCAGAAATACCACAAGCAACGGCAGAACTACAAGTGAACACAGGCCCTCCAACAAAAGCAGAAATCCTGAATGCCATAAAACTGCTGAAATCCGACAAAGCAGCAGGACTAGATGAAATTCCGTCAGAAGCACTGAAAACACCGCAGAGACAACAGCGGACATGCTCACACCACTACTGCAGAAGGTTTCCAAGGAAGCAAGGAAAGGTACCTGCCCATTGATTGGAAGAAGGGATACCTTGTCAAACTTCCAAAGAAGGGAGACGTAAACCGTTGCAAGAACTGGCGAGGAATCATGCTCCTGTCCACCCAAAGCAGGCAAAATATTATGCCGCATCATCCTAGAAGATGTTCTGGATTTAAAATTAGGACCGGAACAGACTGGCTTCAAGAAGAACGAAGCATGCGCTGATCAAGTTGCAACCCTATGCATCATCATCAATGAACAGAGCATAGGATAACAGTCAACTCAACTCTCTACCTCAACTTCATCGACTGTGAAAAGGCCGACATTCGACAGTGTCGACCATGAAGTAATTTGGCAGTTGCTTCAACACTACGGTTTTAGTGCCACAAATCTTTATCAACCTCATTCAACAGCTATATGAAGACACCACATCCCAAGTGATCCACAATGAAAAGCTCAGTAACGCCTTTGAAGTGAAGACAGGAGTAAGACAAGGAAGGCTGCCTACTATCACCGATGGATAAACATTTTTCACCTACGTACCGTATATCAAGATCCAGCTGGACATTTCTTATAATATATTCACCTTTACTAAGAAAAGATGGATTGAAAAATAATCAGGCTGACAAAATGGTGTTAGGAAAAGAAGCCGAATCTAAAACTGTCACAAGTATCGGCCTAAAGAGCCATATGATTCTACATACCAAGTGATTCACAACGAAAAGCTCAGTGATGCCTTCGAAGTGAAGACAGGAGTAGAACAAGACAAGGTTGCCGCCTACTATCACCAATCATCTTCTTGGTTGTGGTCGACTGGACTGGATCATGCAAGAAACAGCTGTGAGGAGCGAGAAGACGGGCATACGCTGTTTGACCGATGAAAAGATCCTAGAAGGTTTGGATTTCGCCCATGATGATTAATGTCGAATGTCTTGTCGCACAAACTGGAAGATCTACAGGCTAAAACTAACAAGTTGACAGAAGAGGCAGGGCAGGCCAGCGAAAACGGGACTTCAAGTGAACGCAGAGAAGACGGAGGTGATGAAGATACCCAACCAACAACAGCATCTAAAACAAGAGGCACCAATCAGCATTAACAGGAGGAACCTAAACGAAGTAGTCTCTTTCACCTACACCTACACCTACCTAGGCAAGACAGCATCGTTTCAACTACAGGTAGTGGGAGAGATGAGGATGTCAAAGCCAGCCAGGATCGGAAAGACAGCAAGACAGGCTTTCATTAATCTCAGTAGATCAGTGTGGAGATCTACTGCAGTGTACTCCACTCAGCGCAAATAATAACATCCGGATTTTTAACACTAACGCCAGTCAAGTCGGTGCTGCTATGTGATGGTTGAGAAACTTGGCGTGTCACGAAAAGTATTTCCAATAAACTACAGACATTCATCAACAGCTGTCCCCTACGCTGGCTCGATACTGAAGATCAGATCACATCAGATCAGGTGAGATGAGATCAGACGAGATAGTGAGAATAATAAGAATAAGCAAGAAGGAACTCTGGCTGACCTGGCAACGAACCAACGAAGCAAGAACCTATCACCGAAGAAATATGCACTAGAAGAAAGTTGAGATGGATTGGGCATACACTGAGAAGGCGGACTGGGGATATCATGCGCCAGGTCAAGCTGTCGAGTGGAATCGAAAAGGGAAACGAGAAGTTGGGCGTCCGAGGCGAGGGTGACACGGAGGAGATGATGTGAGGAAGAAATGAAAGCTTGTGGGCAGTCGTGGCGCCAGGTTTTGAAGACTGCAGAGAAGAGATTGGAATGGAGGTGTGCTACTGAAGCCCTATGTTCCACTAGGAGCCCAAGGTAAAAATAATAATAATAATTCACTTTATGCATTTCTATGCATAAATTCCTATTATATGAATGATAACAGCTGGATAATTACCATTTCCTTTCACTGATTTCCAACCACTGATTCTTATCGTTTTAGGGACCTCAAGCAGACAGTCCACACAGCTCAGACCAACAGTCAGGGACATCATCGACCGATGCCACGTCTTGGTCTGTCCACCTTGAACCTACTTCCGACCTAATGCAACTTTGCTCAGCATGGTACGTCGAGGTAGGCGGTGGCTCGGCATGCATAGCACATAATCAAAACCACCTCAGTTGATGTAGCTGAAATTATACATCAGCAATGTTACGAAGACATACATGGTCGAAGACAAATGAAACATAACTCTTAAACTATAGTGAAGAAAGACTCTTCTTGAAATCGCATATTTTTAAAAAGAGGTTTCCATAAGAAATAGCAGTACGCAGCAGAGAATGATATATCTAGTTAGTATTGCACAGTCCGAGCTTATCTGCTATCTGCAACTAAAATATGAGTGTGGTGACACACATCTCCAAATGAATTCATGAACAATACACTTCAAATTTTGAAAGAGTACAGTTTTTCTCTCAAGGTTGTTGCTAGAATGGTGTATGCCAGCGATCACAAAATAAATATAAGTTCCATTTCATCTCGCCAACTTCTATCAATTGCCTTTGCAGATCATGTAATGGTGGAGTAGAAATCGTCATATGTTGTAAGTGACATTCTATCACAACGCTTAGCTAAAGGAGTCAACAGGAGGTTTTATGCAGATCGACTTTGTAGATCACTCAGTAGCCCGCCAATGCTTAGTCCAAAACTAAAGGATAGCCTACCTAATCTTAGCTCTTCATCTTGCATGTATCAATCTAACTGTTCTTATGGAACTAGTTACATAGGGTGTACGATTAGGTAGGTGCGTCTCCGGAGACGAGAGCGTTTACCAGCTTGATTCGGAAAGGGTAAAGTGAGAGTGGTGAAAAAAAAGTTCAGTCCTAGCGCATCTAGTCGACATAGGGCACCGCATAGATGCTAATAAAGCTTTTACCGTCATTCATCGTGTTCCTAAAACGACACTACATGTAGCTTGCCAACGCTTGATCGACACAGCGGAGGCTGTCGCAATAAGAGTGATCAAGCCTGAACTCCGCATTCAGAAAGAACATGTCTAAGCATTACTTCTCCATTGGCCTTCAGCTAACTAAAGGTCCCTCGTGTCATTTTGTTCGTTATCTTTTTGTTCATCACCACCATCCCAATATTGACTAATTTACAAGATAAAGATAAATCGATTTCCTTACAATCCCTAGATCTTACTCCGTTTTCAAAATATACCTTTCCACTAACATGGCTTGTTTTTACGGTGTACAAATGTATTTTATAATTGTAGAAGAAGAAGAGAGAATTTATTGAAATGAATATTCCTTGTTCAAACTGTTGCTTTTTATAAATACTATGGGAGTCTTTATTATTATTATTATTAGTCCCTTGGGTTCCTAGTGGAACATAGGGCTTCAGTAGCACGCCTCCAGTGACCTCTGTTCTCTGAGATCTTTTGAACCTGGTTTCACGACAGCCCAGAAGCTCTCATTTCCTCCTCGCACGACCTCCTCCATGTCACCCTTGGACGTCCAACTCGTCGCTTCCTATGGGGATTCCACTCGAGGGCCTGACGCGTGATGTCCTCAGTCGGCCTTCTCAGTGCATGGCCAATCCATCTCCACTTCTTCCTGCATATTTGTTGCGTGATAGGTTCTTGGTTGGTTCGTTCCCAGAGTTCCTTGTTGCTTATTTTTTCTGGCCATCTGATCTTCAGCAGCGAGCGTAAGCAGTTGTTGATGAATGTCTGTAGTTTATTGGAAATGCCTTTCGTGACGCGCCAAGTCTCTGAGCCATACAAGAGCACTGACTTGACGTTGGTGTTGAAAATCCGTATCTTGTTCCGCATGCTGAGTGCAGAAGATCTCCACACTGGTTTCAGGCTAATGAACGCCTGTCTTGCTTTTCCGATTCTGACTTTGACGTCCTCGTCCGTCCCGCCTGTAGTTGAAACAGTGCTTCCTAGATAAGTGAAGGAGGTTACTTCCTTTAAGTTTCTCCCGTTGACAGTGATTGGAGTTTGTTGTTGTTGT